ATTATTTAAAAAACCTTTAGATTTAGACATTATAAATCTTATTAAAACAAACACTTATTTTGATCAGAGAATCCAAAAATGCAATAATATATAGGGTATTTTATTTAGAAAAACACAACTTTGGTACTTTTAGAGCTTTTGGGACACTCTGTACATTACAAAAATATTTTTAAAATGTGCACCCGATAGGCGTCTCTGGATTCATCAAATAGTAGTTTGCAAAAAACAAACGGGCTAGCCGCGAACGTCCGTGCCGTATGGCGTGAATAACCTTGTATACTCTGCGATATAATTAACATAAATTCAAAAGTAGAGGTCTCAACACAGAGCAGTGCGGAACTTCAATATCTGCCCCTTTGAAATTTGAGAGGCTGTGCCTTTGTTTCAAGAAATATTTGATCACATGTAAAACATATTGCTGCATTTTTTCCACTATAAAGTCATGATTCAGGATGCTGAAAACCTTGGGTGGGTCGAAGAAGAGCAACGTACCGGCAGGCCCTCAGCCCGAGCTCGAGACGAGCTCCATAGGGCGACCTCCCCACTCTCCGTCGATCTACCAGAGCGCAAACCATGCTGCCACCCACCAACAGGCGTTGAATATGCAAAATCATTTAAAGTCCCTTACAGAAAAAAGTCACACTTATTTAAAACTAGCGATCGCGATGGTCAGCGTTGGGAGCAACTATTTCCGTGACCGATTTATCGATTTCGAAACTGAAGGTTCAAAAATTCATGAACGTTTATAGAGAAAAGGTGGAAGTGCACCATTGAGCATATACCACATATTAAGTCGCAATTGAAAAAGTATATCCTCAACAGCTTGGTTTGACGAAAAAAACCGTTGGTACACAAGAAAACTGATGCGTGCAATTTACGAGACGGCAGATTTGACAACCAAATATCCAGCAAAAAGTAGCATATGCCACTATGACAAAATAAATAACTCGAAAACGAAAGTAGATACGAAAAACTGCAAGAGATAAATTAATTCTTAAATTGAACAACAAATTTAAAAAATTGTTCGGTCGAAGTAAATTGTGAATCACAAAAAAGTTTGGGGTGGGGGGTAAAAAGGGTATACCTCTAAAAAAAACACCCTGTAGATGTTCACAACCAGTTGGACTACCTACGGGTAAACGGTCTAAACATTAGACTAGGTCAAAATTTGAACAAAATATCTCATAAACTGTAGGAGTTATACAGAAAATGACAACATTTTTTTGGAAACTTTAACACCCTGTATCTCGTTAACCATGGACCTGAGAAAAAAAGTTTAAATGGAAAACTTGTTTTGAGGTCATCCACAAAACTCTGAGCTGCGTCCATATAGTTGTGAAGTATCCGGTATATGGGGGATGATCTCTTGTACACCGTATGATGTTCTATTTAGGAGTAATTGAGCTGTGAGATAAATCGATTGGCGTTTTCTTCTAAACTCAATTTGATGTTGCCAATTGCCAATTTTAAACATTCTAATTTTTTACGAGAAATCTTTTGAAAAAGCCGAAAGTAAAAACAGGTTGATAATTGGACTTTTTTGAAACCATGATTTTGTGCAAATAATCTTTTAAAGAGTTATTGCGACCAGAAACCGAATTTCGAGTTTCTAAAACAACTGCCAGTAGGAAAACTTCTAATGGCCGGCCTACGGGAGGTACTGTACTATCTATACAATACAATTTTAATAAAAAAAAAATTACAAGAAACACACAACAATAACAATCATTCTTAAACTCAGAAGTATCTAGGCAAAGGACTCCAGTCTCCATTAAGTTCTTTAAGGTTAGATTACCAGTTTATAATCAATCATCGTTTCCGACAGCATCAGCCTAAAAGTATACCAAAAATAATACAGTGCTAGACAGTGTACATATTTAGATGTTTCTTCTGTTAGAGGTTTTAATTTTTTTGTTTGACTCATTTTATTACTTTCAAATAATATTGATAAACCTTTTAATCCATAAATGAACTGAACAACTCGGAATGAGAGCAGCATAACATCACCCACGTGACCTAAGTGAGAGGAAATTTATTTAGATATAGTTATTGATATTAAAGTTTCTACAATTTGAAGGTATCGGTACTGACCAATATATTATCAGTTATTTTCAAGAACCAGTTAAGTAGCGCGATAACCCTTAATCCAATAACTAAAAGTTAAAAAATACAACCTCCTAAATCATCTTTTGCCCGGATTGACGATAGTGGCACCATGAATCTCGTGTGCTCGTGAGACATTTTTTGAACGTTTTCATGATTGATTTTGAAAGGTTTGAAATGAGAGTTGGAAAACTTGTAATGCAAGGTATACGTAAATCACCCTGTAAACTCATGTATAATCTTGCAGAAAAAAATTTAGTAAATATAAACTGTTTTTCAATTTTTAGCCTAAATATTACACTGGACAAGTCTTGGGGGTATCTTCAATCAGATGGAACAATGGATGGTTTAGTGGGTGACCTTCAACGAAGGAAAATTGACTTTGGATTGTCCCCATTATTCGTGAAGAAGGATAGACTTAAATTTATCAGTTACGGTAGAAGAACTTACAATTTAAGGTAATTTGTGAACAGAAAGGTGTATTGACACATATTTTGAATTAATTGCAATATTCTATATACGCCAGGTACGTATTTTTGTCGCGAAGCGCTCGCTCGATCTATCGAATTTTATTTCAAGTTTTGAGGTAGTACGTGTAAGAACGGGCATTAAGATAATCTCACAATATCTCTTTTTAACTGCATTTCCTGACAAGTAGGGAGATTCTTGTTTGCTAAGCAATAGTCGCTATAATAAAACCAGGTTGTCAAATAGTCAAAGGATAGTTCAAACGAGCATTTTTTGGACGAAAATCTTATCAAAATGCAACCATATTTTAGAAAGATTTCACGTCTGTAGAAGTATAAGAAAAAAATCACGAACACGACAGCAGCGAGTACAAAAAAACATCGGAAATTTTATAAAGTAAAAATTCAAGTAATTATGTACCTATATTTAAAAATATTATTAGCGTATAGGAAAATTTCGTCAGTGCAAACAAATTCAATTTTTTTGGTGTTGGCCAGTTTCTGGTTTAGTCGCCCGATTTGGATCCGACGCTGTTTTGGGTTGCTCCTCTGGGGTCACACACGCATTAAACCTAGTGGCCCGGGAGCGGTATTTGTTACTAGTTTGTTGCTCTAGTTGAAACAGGCTCTCCCTAATTAATTTATTTATTTATTAAAAACTGATTGGAATTAATTAATTGCTATCTACACAAAATAACTTCTGCACCCCACCTCCACAATAGGAGCCCTACTGACTGATTCACTGTTTTCTCATCTGGCAATCTGTTTGTGAATCTACGAAAAGGCGTATTCAAAGGACCCAAAATACGTTCGTGAAAGATGTTATATGGGCATTCTGGTATATTTGACAACAGCAGAATAACCTAAATGCACGAAACTGAAGGACTGTATATAAACTAATTTCCACGTTTTATGATATTTTCCCTCACACTACGTGTCGACAACTCAACATTCCCTGCAAAATTAGACTTTGTTGTGCCTAGCGGCCTTGAAAAGCACAAATCCAACACCACCTGACCGGCCGGATTCGTACTACCTTGCTCTGGGTGGTGCTGGCTTTTCGTTGTGTAGGGTTAGGGAACGAGGTGGTTGTTGCTTTGGCCATATACTGGTTGAGACTGCCGGCGGTTTACTTCACCGCTGACATTATCAGGATCTAGTATCGAAGCAAAGGCTTTCTAGATTAAATTCAGGAATACCGTTTACGTTATTGAATGCCTCTCAAAACAAATTAAAAGCCCCTTTTCAAGATAATATATATAATAAAACGTAGGAACTACTAATAAATAACTACCCACCAAATTAAACTCAAACTCGCACTTGCAAGGCCAGTCATTCTAGCAGAATTAGGGGTATAGTTTTCATCCACCTTGTATAACTAGAGCGCTAAATATATTTTAAGTCGTTGCAGCACTATTCGTAAGGACTGGAAGCAAAATTTGAAGTTTCTTAAACAACTGCTAGTCTGAAAAGTTCTAATACACCATCTACATAAATCAGCCTGTATATCTCGTTAGTTTGGCGACCAAATAGGTCTACCATGTTTTCATCGTCTTCTTCAGAATTTGTTTTCAATAATCAACGGATACACATACACTAAACACTGGCGATCTAGAAAGACGCATACCTGCCAATCGTCGATTGGCTCAAACCTCAATCCGTTGGGAGAGCATTCAGCAAATATTTCGAGTTAGCTTCATTCAAGAAGACGTTTATGTAATTTTTCTAACGACTCTTTCAGATTACTTCGTGGTTCTTTCTCCATGAAATTACGTTTCGAATATTTGAGAATCAACTATGCCCAAGGCAACAACACGGTTTTAACAAATCCAATTTTGATCGCTCGGTAGATATCAGAACCCAAATTTAAAAACTGAATGGAAATCAAACCGTAACGTTATCAATATATTCTAGCCTAGAGTTTAAAAAAACACTTTTAACATTATTTGAAACAATGAATTTACAATGATTTACAGTTATTTTACTCGCTGCTAATGTAACCAAACTTTCATGAATTTTTTTCGTATGAGTAATTGTTTACCGAGAAACAGTAGGAACCGACGTTAAAAGTCGTTTTCTGTTTGTTGAATACTTTTATCATTGGAAATAATTTTTTCATGTCAGCAGTCGCTTGCAAGGATGTCGCTGGAATTCCCCGATCTCAGTAGTTTAGTTTTCCTTTGCGGAATTTTTAAAAAATTAATAAAATGAAATAAAACCATATTATTATCAAATGAAAGGTTTTTCGTTGTCCACTAATTTATAACTTTGAAAGGGATTTTTCTGGCGTAGCGGACAAATAATGTTTGGAAAAAGAAAAATTTACTGCTTTCGGCGGAATTTGAACTCGCAACCTCCATGACTCCGGCATGATTCTCAACCTACTAACCTACGAAGCAGGCTGTTTCGTAACAGCTTTAGGACTGTAAATCTGTCTTGATTCCAAATACGGGGTGGTACGTATGTAAGTGTGCAATCAATCAAGTACTACAGAAACCGAGACCTATGTTGTACCCCTTTTTATCTAAACAGACTCGTAGGTCGTCAATTTGGATTGTTGACTTGGCCAGGGTTGAAAATGTGGGAACCCCTGGTCTGAGATAATTAGCCTATAAACATACAGATAAAGACTTTTTAGTTGTCCGCGACACCGTAAAAATTATATTATATTATAATTATTATATAAACCGTGACCTATATTATTATCAATACATCTGTTGCAGGGCCGCATTCATACTTAGAAATCCAAAATCAAGAAGGTCTTTCGAAATATTTTTTAAACCTCTCTCCGTGGATGTATGGATGTCTATCATAGTGTGTTCTATCTTGTGTGTGTTGGCTCAAAAAATTGGATTTACAGAGGACAATAAGTCTGCACGAATCGCAAATGATGTATCATGGAGTTTTAGTACAATTTGCACTTTCGGAGCATTTTGTCAGCAAGGTAATAGTAACTATACTGGGTGATTCAAAATTGGCGTCATTTCATTTAAGGGTCTATACCCCATATAGGGGTTCACTTAGAGAGTACGAAAAAAATATGCAAAATTTGTTTTTCGAAAATTTCAAGAAGATATTAAGATCTTCGAAGACCGAATTGCAACTTTGCTATTAAGCATTATTTTGAAAATGTCCCACGTTTGATTGGTAGTCTATTGGAATACTTAAGCATTCGAAAAAAAAAATTACGATCTCAAAAAAATTTGAGTTCAATAAAGTTCTCTTCTATAATTTTTTGATAAAGTCAAAGCGGCAATGATGTGTTTTGTCAGTAACAGATAGTTACAGGTATACAGCCTTTGTCAATAATAACAAGCATTTGTCAAACTGTGGCTTATCTTGAAGCTCCTTTCAGAAAATGTAAACCAACAGCGAATTTGCAAATATCCAATTAGTTATGGGATTTCCCATAAGGGGGTTATGGGAAGTTAGGTGCTCGGTTTCCAGACCTAGACGAACAAGGTATTGGAGATTATTGCAGCTGAGCCTTCCAGGAGTACTTGAAGCATTGCACAACAACTGCGCTTTCTCAAACACCGTATACTTAATTGTCCCAAAAACTACTCCGAGGAAGCGCCTACATTTCTACCATGTATGTAATATGAACAGGATGCTAGAACACATTAAATCTCTGATCTTCCGAATACCGCTTCAAATTGAGCAGCAGTTAATTAACCGAACGCGAGAAGCAGCTCAAAATATGAGCTCAGACTGAAAGTGATTGGGAGAAAAAGATGTTTCGAGTGAAACGGTCAGGACTTCTTCCGCTTGGGAACACTTGTGTTTTAACAACAGAATTGTATTTTATTTGATCAATAATATTGATCAATGATACATAACTTTCAACAGGTGGTTTTGGATGACAGTTGCGACGTATTTCGGTATATCACTCAGTTGCGCCAAACAGATGGCAGCACTCTGGGGCTGTTTGGTCGCAGCAATGACCGCAAGGTGACACCGTTATCTTAACCTCAAAGCATGTTATTGTCTCTTTTATTTTCTTTGCTTCATGTTTATCCATGGTTACCGGAGCTTTTAATATTTACGAAGGAACAGGTATTTACGAAATGTTAATTAGGTAGATTACCTTGAAAAACATTTTTGCCACCCTTTTGATCTAGTTTTTTTGACTCTTTTTTTTATCTGAGTTTTTAATAACATTTAATTTTTTGTAACTATTTTTTCTGTACTCCCAAGACACAATTTTGAATCACCCTGTAAGGTAGCTAAATCATTATTTAAAACGAAATATGAAGTTGTCAGTTAAATGAGGTAGTATTATATCATTCTCATTATAATGGGTGTTGCAATAAGAACGACGGATTTGACCTGGGTTCAATTTGTATGGTCCTAAATTAATATGAACAAAAATTACCGCATTTTGGAATGGCGTCATTGGGAGATAGTAGTAGATTAACTAGAATGGAACACTTTGCGCGTTTTTTGTCTATGTTCGGCCTAATTCCACAGAAAATTGTTCCTCGTGACGACAGAGCAAGACGTTCTTAACTCTCGGAGATACCGGTTGTATCGGGACAATTGGAACTTGGTTCAGTTGAACTATTATATATTTTATATCTTGACCCTTTGGAAGTCTATAACATTTGATATTTGGCTTTTTTCTTGGGTCCAATATTGGCATTTCTATATAATTCAACAATTAAAGGCGGTTGAAGCGAAAGCACTACGATAAAAAAAAATTTTTTTTTTTAGTTCCGTGAACCTTTTTAATTATGGAAGTTAGTAAGAAATTTGCCAGTTTATATTGTTTTATTTTTAATGTTCAAAATATTTTGAATTATAAAACTTAAGTTGAGTATGAAAACAAATACAAACCATAACCTGATTACTACAATTCGCGCATAATGCTGACACAATAGTATAGTTGATGGTATTTCTGATGATTTTCATAGAGCTTAGAAAAGCCAACAAAAGAGAAAGTGCCTGACACAAAACTTTACATCGTAAAATTCGTAATTTCCTTGAATGATACAAATCTAAATATAAACCCAATAACTTAAACGGGCATCTGTTGTCAATTTCAATATAAAACTAGTCCTTTAGGTGCTAATCAGATTACAATACGAGACTCAGCATTGAATTGATCTTGAACGACCAATTTCAGACGTTCAACTGAAGTACTTTTACGACTAGAATGAAGCAACAGCACCATCATAGCCTCGGTAACACAGTGGATTTCACACAGGTGTCTATACAGCTCTGCCGATACTTGCTTTTGAACATATTTATTTCAGACAAGTTTTACATACTTCTCACTGGTACTTATTCTACGGATCCTTAATGCTAACATCTTGTTGTTTAAAATGACATCATATGACTTAATCTAACTTATTCTAACTTAAACATAAACATTAACACATCCTCTAATGCTTCCTAAGCTAACTGAAATCTAGCCCATAGTCCTCGGTGTGGTGCAGGATCTGGTCATCCTTGTGGTCCACGTCTGCTTCTTAGACTGCGTCCGCAAGGAGAGGTCTGCGGTCACAGTTGAACTTCTTGGTGCAAGAAACCCTGACGTTAGGTTCCGGATGTGGTCCAGCAGGTCCTCTGTATCCAGGTAGAGACCTGCGAAGAGTCGCAGGGTGGTATTTCTGACGAAGTATCGGGCCTTTGTCACTATTCTCGGTATTTTATTCTGGAATACTGCCAGTTTCTGCTCTTGCGAGGTGCTGGCTATGGACCACGCAGGAGATCCATAGGTCAGCACCGGGCGTATCAATTGCTTGTAAACTCTGGCCTTAGTTTGTAGGCAGAGTTTACCTGACAGCAGAAGATAGCAGGCATGGAGCAGGAATCTTGCTTTGGCGATGGTGTTTGCCATTTGGTCGTGCCATACTAGACGCTTGTCATATG